GCCCCCACCAATGCTAGGAGACTGGGATATCTCATAGCTCTTGGATCCCTGCCTCTGAAGACAATCCCGCTTCACGTGACCCCCGCTGGTGATATATGTAACAAGTCATCTGGCCTGCCTGGTAGGTAATCCTGAAGCTTCTCCCACCATGGGAGGATTGACCTTGGTCTTGATAGCCGCGACCCTCTCCTTGTAGCCCTTGCGAGGTAGAAGTCTTTTTCTTCTTCCCTAAACTAGAAGAAGATGATTGAGCCTCATTTTTCTTATCTTTATCACCCGTTTTTCAAATGCTTCTTGCGTCATCGACCTCTCTCTCAATGGTCATAGCCCTCTCGACCATCAATTCCAAATCCGGTAGGTAGTGGTCTACAATCTTCCCCCGAATAAACAACTTTAAACCATCCTAAAACCTCCTCACTTTGGCCATGTCTGTGGCCATATAGTCACTGAAAAAACTGGCTAATTTAGTGAACTTAGCCACATATTTCATCACCGTCATAGTCCCTTGTTTGAAAACCAAGAACTCTTGGACTTTCGAGTGTCGAACAACCGATGGGAAGTATTTGCCCGTGAAGAGCTTCCGGAACTCTCTTCATGTCATCACCTCTAAGTTCTTCGAGGCCTTTGCCCAATCCCACCATAGATGTGTCTCTCCTTCTGGCTGGAATACAGCTAGTCTTATCTTAGTGGTATTGGAAGTGATCTTCATAACCTCTAAGATCTTGTCAACTTATTGGAACCAATGGTCGTCCACCATCAAATTCACCCATTCCATAAAAGTCGAAGGCTTGTGTGCCTTGAACTTTTGGAGGTTAATTAAGCCACCTTGACCCACATTGGCGCTAGGTTGTGCAAAGGTAGCCACCATAGTGCTAATAGCCTCCACAAAGGTTTGTTGGTCAAAAGCCGGTGGTGGTTGGTTGTTGTTCAGTCCACCGTCTCGACCGCGTCCTCTTCCTCTATTTGCCATCTGCACACATGTCAAATATCAATAGAGCACTAACTTAGTATCCCAAGATAGGGATCAAGTTCAAACTTTGAGATTTCTCTCTATCACACTAGTAGAGCATATGCCACCCACTAATAGGCATCTACACCCTCAACCATCCCGTTCATTCTTTTTCCGACCCCCACAGTTATGTTCTCTAACCCTAGTGGCTCTTTTCCATACACATTCAATCATGCAAATTGTTCACATAACATACAACACATAACATTTAGTATTTAAAGCACATAACATATAATGCACAATGGATGCAATGGTCTAAATTCATGCCTCGTAAGCCTTAAGTAAATCAAGGACCAAGGCTTTGATACCAAGTTGTGACGCCTCTAAAACCGAGGGTCCTTTAACAACTATTAATCACTCATCAACTCGTAAAAATACCGTGATTATCGCATAACCCAATATCACGCCGAGAGCATCCCCTTAATCAGGATCACAACCCACACGGATAACCTTTATACACTCTATCATTTACCAATTTGTGGTCATTTATACATCAATTTATAGTCATTAATATCTCATATAACCTCTATGAGCACAAGGAATTAATGCCCCGAAGGCTTAGTAAAACATTTGAAAATTTTAAAGTTTAAAGAAAATCTATCGGTAGAAGTGTTCAAAGTTCTACCGGTAGAAGTGTTCAAAGTTCTACCAGTAGAAGTTGTACACTGGACTTTAGTTTTCAAGAATTTTGAGAAAACCTACCGGTAGAAGTTGTTCTTGTTCTACCAGCAGAAGAGACCTTCTAGAATTCTTATACCAGTAGGAAACTTGACGTTCTACCGATAGGAGAACCCTACTGGAAATGTTCTACCGGCTAGAAATGACGATCTACTGGTAGAACCTGACTACTGGACTGCATCTATTGGTAGAAAAGCTAAAAATTCTACCGGTAGGTGTGCCCAATTTTGCCCATTTCAACCGTTTTCAATCCTAATCCATTCCAACATTGTGCTACACCAACCCAAACTCACATAACATTAAGTTTTTACATAAAACATGGTTTATATGAGTTCAATTACAATCTACTTCATACAATTACATGCCAAAAACTTCATTTTTATAATAGTTTTACATAAACATGGGATAAAGCCACATTCGACTATTCTTCATCCTTGAGGGCCCGAATGACAGTTGTCCACCGGTGTATACTCCGGACTTGAAATGTTATCCCATAAAGGGTGAGTCATGCTTAATAGGGTATCTCCTAAAGAGACTACTCCCAACCAATATGCATATGAAATGTTCACATGTACAATTCAACCAGCAACAACATTCCAATCAAGAATATGCAATTGAATGTTAGAAATCATCATGTCATACCATGATATGAGATGATATTCACTCATACACTTCAACCTAAACCTTCATCGACTCCCTCAACACATGCAAATGTCATGTGTGTTACTTCGGACATTTCAAGCCCCTCGCAATTGATGTTACACATCCAATGACCATTAAATTTCCGAATCTTTTTGGGGTTGATATTTACAGACTTCCACCAATGATCATCCAACCGACACAACATCTATGAACTTTCACCAACAGCTTCGCATATGCCGACACACTTTATAAACTCAATACCAACAGAGTGTGTATTCGAAGTCACTGAGTCTTGCACTCGAGGGATAGTTTAGCCCCTCGTGCTAACTCAATTCTCAATGCAATCTGTGCGACTCAATCAAACCTTGATCCAACTTTACCGAGCCCACGCATCATTCACCAAGAGTGGCGTTTGATGACAACCATGCACACGCACTCACACTCATGTCTAATGCCTATAAATGCAATGTCTCCGTGCATATGCAATATAATGTACAATTGCAATACTAATATCATGTTTAATATGTGATGAGCTCCATATGAACTAATTCAATCAGTTTACAACATTTTCCATGGTCAATTATATCATGAGCATATAATCACCATATATCATCTTAATGTCAATACATCATCAAGCATATATAAACATTTATTCCCAACAGCAATTCCTTAACATGTTATAATATAATCTTACGCAATTAACATACTTAATTCACATAGGGATAATATAAACACATAGCATGCCCATATAACACATTTTTTCAAGAAATTTCGAGCTACCAATTTCTAAGTATCAATTTATGCTAGAATTGATTTTACTCATTCTCAATACTCATTTCATCAATTTAATAACAATAGGTAAGTGCTATACATGAGATTTCAACTCTAACACTCTATCCATTCCAAATAACAATTCTAGGTTGAAAATAAACCTACTTAGGAAGAAAACTCTACCTCTTGAAGCGTAAAACAACAGTAAAAAGCTCCAAGAACCCAAAATAAGCTCTAATACAGGCTTTCTCCAAAACTTTGTCCTTGAAATTTTATCCAAATCTAATATTCTTAGAATCGTTTAATAGCTCTCAACGAGAAGAACAATTTTCGTTCTTGGCTTGAGTCGATTCGAACAATGTAAAGACGTATATTGTAGAGAGAATATAGAGCTTCCCTCTCTTCTTTTGATTTTTCGAATAATCTAATGGATATAGTGAGAAATCTGATTTTTTTCTCTATTTATACATTTTAAATGTTTGGTCCTCATTTTGCCACACATTCTTCTTTCTCGGGTCCGATTTTGACTTGAATCGATTAAATTTTGTCTTTAGTTCAAGTTCAAAATATTTTTATTTGAACTAAATTTAAATTATTATCTAATTTTTAAAATTTAATTTTCAGGTTTGTTTATGAGATCACACGACACCCGATCGCCTCCTAAAACGTAAAAAATTCAAATGTCTCAAAATTTGACAAAAATCTACAAGGTGGCTAGATTTTACGAGATGAATCCAACGGTGAGATCCGTTTCATAATCCGAGTTCTAGAAAAATTTACATTTTCAACCTGTACTGTAGCGACAACTAATCGTTTTGCCTTTATCATAAAAGTTTCAAAATTACCTGAGTTTTACATTCTTCCTCCTTTAAAAGAATTTTGTCCTCGAAATTCATACACACATATACATTCAACCACATGCTATGAAACATTTATATAATACTAAATAACTATAAGTATGTACCTCCATCTTCAAACAAAAACAGATAAATGGTATGTATAACGTCCTCATGCTCCCATGTCACCTCTTTCACACCTTGATGCTACCACAACACCTTTACCAGCCTCTCGGTCTTGCCTTGTAAAACCTGCTCTTGGCTATCCATAATATGCACCGGTCCCTCTTTGAAGGTCTCATTTGCATCAACAATTAGCTCGCCCCAATCCACCACATATGTCAAATATGAGATATACTTCTGGAGCATGAAGACATGGAATACCGCGTGAACACCTGATAAATTTGGCGATAACCCCAACTGGTAAGCAACTATACTAACCCTCTCGAGTACCTCAAATAATCCAATAAACCTCGACGAAATCTTTCCTCGCTTTCCAAACCTACCCACTCCCCTCTTACGCATTACCTTCAAGAAGACATGATCCCCCCAGGGCAGGAGACGCTTTAGGACTACCTACCAGGTAAGCCAGAGGACTTGCTATATATGCCACCAGCCGGGTCACATGAAGCAGAATTGTCCTCAGAGGTAGAAATTCCAGAGCTATGGGACATCCCAATCCCAGGCATCGGTGGGGCATACCCAGACTTATTTCATTCCTCTGTACCCCACCATAGGGGTCCGAATTTGGTTGGGGACACCTCGAAAAGATAGACTTGATACAGAAGCATCTTCTCACGACTCAGCGCCGGGTATTAGACATTTAACGCACGAGTTAGATAGAACCCCATAACACACGCATCACCCTTGTTGGCCTAGCAGTTTCAGGAAGGCTGAAAAAGAAATCAACCTTTAATGGGTCACTCAGCAATTTTGTATGCCACATCAAACCTATCTTCGATCCCAAAATAGTCAATCTTTTCCAATTCACTATAAATCATACGATGTCATCTGCATCATCTTTTTTATAACCACTGTGTGTGCAATTTGATCTAATATTTTACCCCAGTCAGTTGCATATTCTGATAGGACTTGGGTAATGTCGCCTAGTCCTTGTGCCAGTGCCTCAATGGATGAAATTGCCTTCTTCTTTCTCCATTTTCGTGATTGCGGAGTCTCTACAATTTCCTCTGGCGCTTGTGTTACACTGTGTAAGCCTCCAATTTCTTCCACATGAGTATTGAATTCGACCCCGTTGTCAGTCTCATGGACATAGGCATCAACATTCCCCACCATGTCCTCCAAATCAATAGCAAACTCCCCAGTTGCTTAATCTCTGCCAAATACAAATCATCACAAAAGCTTTGTCATATTATATGTTATATTTAGATGTTGTGTACCAATTGATCTATCATTTTATTAATGTTCAACCAATGTAATATCACCATATGTACCTTTAAGTATTCAGTCAAAATATCTTCATTATCGACCAAGATTTTATTGTCCCTTTCACTGAAGCCAAATCCACAAGTTGTCAACATCGATAGAATCGTATTGTAATGCTTCTTTCATATTTTTATCTTTGACTCGATGTGGGGGTAGGCTCGTAAATCAGTTCCTCCCAAAGCTTCATTGATAGCCTTTTCTAGTACCTGGAGGTAACTTGGCTTGAATGTGTCATTTAGGACACTTCCACCCCTGGTTGCATATCTCCTTCAGTGCGTGGAGAAGTTGGTCGTCCTTGGCAGTCGTCCATATCCTTCATGTAGCCTTTTCAGATTGGCCTCCCACCCTTACTTATGAGCTCCCTGCGTTTGCCATCCCTATAACAAACTCAAAATTGGATTACACATTTGTAACATATAAATCTTCTAATTCATGACTTATTATATGTTGCAAAAAACACTACAAAAAGTGCTTGAATACTTAAGCACATGTGATAACATACATGAGCACCAGTCAAAGATACATAATTAAACAACATATACTGAAAAAGTTTGTTCGTTGTGCTCATATTCAAGTAAAATTTAACATTCAAGGCATATTAGTGAATTCCTCTACTCATGCGCCACTCGTTGTACATCTCAATGGCCAATTGTTGTCTCTAGTTGGTCCATACCGTTGACATCTCAGCGGTGTCAATTATGTGTTGGTTGTCCATCTCACATTTTTCTCCTCGGGAAGTTCATCTTTTTATAGGGTCATATTCCATTTCATTCCTACACAAATTGTGTAGAAGACAACAAACTGGAATGATGCCATTATGGGTTGTTACATGATAGTAACATCGGGTTCTTAGAATAGCCTGTC